CAAGTCGGTATGGGTTGTCGCGAACCGGGTGACAACTCCAAGCTTCACGGGCTCTCGTGACAGGGACGAGCATGTCAAGTCGAGCAACATCGCGTTCGGTCTGATGCTGCTCCACATGGACGCGGACTACCACCATATGGTCGACAACTGCGAGGAAACGTGGACCGCGTGGACGTGCTTGAAGGCGTTTTACAGTAGATCGCAGAAGGCTGGTCACATTTACCTGAAGCAACAGCTCTTCAGCATGGAAATGTCTGAAGGCGCGAATGTGCTGCATCACTGCAACGAGGCCCTCAACATTAGCGCCAACCGGCACAGCATCGGTGCAAAGATGGAGGATGAAGACGTGGCGATCAGCTTGTTGCGTAGTCTTCCCAAAGTTACGAGAGCGTCGTTCGGAGGTTGGAGATAAGCAGCGCAGAGCTGAAGACGCAAGACGTTGTAAAGGAGCTCATAAACGAGAATATCAAGCGGCAAGGTGAGAAGACTCCGGCTGTGAAAACTGAAGACGCAGCGAAGGCGTTCAGTACCGAGAGAGAGATTCTCTCCAGTGTACTTACGGCGGAAATTGGGGCGCGCGATGGAGGAGTGCTGAACCAAGCAGAAGGAGGAGAATCAGGGAGCCCGATGCGGCGGCAATGGTCGTGGGCGCGTGGCCAACAATGATCAGTGGCGAAACGACGCCTACGACTACGGCTACGATCGCGTGGAGTTTGCGGTTTCGCTAGACTTCGGACTTTCGACGAGCAACGATATGTCCGGCATGTGGACAGTCGACAGCGGTGCGGCGCACCACATCTACAGCAACAAGGCCAAGTTCGACACAAGCGAGATGCAGGCGAACTGAAGGTGGACGACGGCACTAAGGTCACCACCAAGGGTATCGGTACCGTCCTTGAGCGAGTGGCTCTGCCCGACGGCGACGAGCGCGAGACCGAAATCAACAACGCGCTTTACGTACCAAATATGAAGTAGCATTTGATATCGATGCCTCTGATCAACATGAGCGGCAAGTTCCAAGTGGTGTTTGACGGTGCCAGCATGCATGTTGCGCGCAAGGGCTCCCAGTAAGTGGTGGCTACGGTGGACCTCGACGGACTCTACTGGCTACGCGCCCCACTGTGCTCTACGAACACGGTGACGCCCACGCCCACTGTTGACTTGAACGCTTGCGTGGGTAATGCCCCTATCGACGTGTTGCCCAAAATGGCCAACAAAAACATGATCAGGGACGGGGTGTAGATGGTTAAGAGACTCGGGTTAACTGAGTAACTAACGCCAGATTACACTAAACATTATTAGTGATATAAAAAACGGTCGGGGGCACTGATTGCTCAAACAAAGGCGGTGTCAAGTGCGTCGAGATAAACGACCGTGCGAATCACCTTGACAAAAGATAATCCATGAGTCCTCAAGTAAGTGTTACCAGCTGCTCGCAACTGCACCAGTAGCCGCATATGTCCAACCACAGACACAGAAACACCAAATGTGTGTTCCGATCCCCAGGACCGATCCCATTACATGACAGCTTTATGAGGCTGAGCTGACCAAACCGACCAAGCCGACTGTTATCGTCGTATGTACGTATCCCAGCACGCCGTTGGTTTATGAAATTGTCCGTTCTGCTGGCGGGCAACGATAGGTGCTTCTTTGTCACGGCACCTGAGAGTAGGGTGTGACAGCGCTATTATATGGACGGCTTACATAATATTAGCTGTAGCCTTTATTATTCCCAAGTATCGGAAATTGTGTACAAGAGCTGCCCTACCTAAATGCAGCTATCACTAAATATTCCGAAGGGGTTTTGCATACACAAAAATGGCGATGCTGTAGATTCGGGTACGCTGCCTGGCATCTTTGCATCACAGGGGTGTTTCAACTACATGGAAGAATTGTAGGTAAGGCTGTTCACTGCAATATCCCCGGGTTTCCGCCAAACTGAATTTCCGATGCCCACGGATGCCATCCTTAATCACAGCCATGACATCTTCGATACCGAATGTGCCTGTATTCCACAGCCTTTCAACTCCCGAAACCGTTATACTTCAATTATACGTAGATTCAATAGCAAGGAAGTGCATTTGCAGTTTGGGCGCCTCTTTCTTGCTGTTTGCTTCCTTATTTACAGTGCTCGGTGCTCGCTTAATCCTGTCGCCGCTAGTCGCTTTTTAAGAATGAGAATGAATGAATGGGACAATGGATTAAAGGAAGCACATTAATTCTAGAATTATCCGATAAGAAGCCAATTCTAGAAAAGAGTATTTATAGTCAATCGGGACTGCCTTCCCTTTGCTCAGCAACGGAAGTTTTTTTTTTTTTTGCCGATCAAAAGTCCGTATTTGTGTGACGGACTTGACGAGTGGATGGATGGACAATACCTTTCGTTTGGCGGGGAAGGGGTGAGACAACACGCGATTCTTATTTAAAAAAGACCTGATGGTTCGAGGCGGTTTACGAACTCCGAGTTTACCCGACCGGAAATTTGATCAAGCCTGTTGTAAGCTCGCAGCGCGATGCTTGGGCCGGAGTTTTGTGAATGATTATGAGTCTGTGCTATATATGAATCCATATAATAGCATTACGTTCCCGAGTCCCGATACATCACAGCCAATAGTTGGAGTAAAAACCAACCTTACGGCGACGAAGAAAACGTTGCTTTTGTTAAGCTTCGATATGGGAATCAAGTAAACATTCGTCTTGGCTACGGCAGGAAAGTTTCCGCATTGGAGTGTTTAACCTGTACTCCTGACGAGACCGCAGTCGAGTCATGGGCGCCACGCTGTCGTTTGCTGAGGAGCAGCTTGTTGCGTGTCTCGGGGAAATGACTAAGCTACTAGTTTGGTAGATATTACTCATATGTTTGCTTAATAACTCGATATTTCGAAAACTATTTATCACTTCGCGCAATTTCTTCTAACGGAATTCACCGAATAGAATCCCACAAACAGTGACTTTGGTTCCATTTCAAAGTTGAACCAAATCATAGAAGCCTATTCACAATAAAAATAGGCTATCTGGTAGAGTAAGGGGATTCTTTTCTTTCGTAATCCAGATTTGTATTCTAGTATATTTGCATGGAGAGACGTACTTTGTATTTTGAACATGATGCTGTGTCCAACTGGGTATCGCCGACTATAGTATATCAATTCCTTTCACAGTTCATGACACTTTCAAAACATTTGTTCTGTCGTATGGGGCTATTTCGCGTAAAATCCATTTGTATACAGGCCTATGTTTTTTCTCGTAAAATAGACCATGGTTCGGATAACAGACACTTGAATATCGCATTTCAACTGTATTTTCTAATAGATTTGCTTATCGCGACAAAGTTTGGCTCAGCGTGTTATTTCTGTGTTAAATACAATGCTACGTAAGGAGTTGGCCATATTTGTGGCCTAAACTTAAATTTCATTGGATTACGGGCTGTTTCGATACCAAGCGGGCTCTCCGTTTATATAAATCAAGTGGTATTGAAGCACAACCACCCATGGTATAATAGGCTCCTCCTCACTTTCAACTTGTCATAATGGCCCGGGGGCATGTCGAAGCCCTGTGAACATCACATTCCAACCCTGTAGTGCAACTGGGATAAGCAACTTACATGATTGTTAGCCGCAATGAAGTAGCTGCCTAATCCTGTCTAACTGCACGGAGTCTGATAACACCCATCTTGACGGGAAGTTGGAAAGCCGATCATAGAGTAAGGGCCAAACATGCAATGCTTATGGACTGAGTAAGCAAGAAGCAAGGATATTTGGGATGGAAATCTCCACCCACAAAGTATATCGGTATTGGTCGTCCGATTCGTACTGGATACTGCGCTGAGACACCGATAGACGAGCGCTGGTTGGTGCAAGACGGGATCGTAGTTACTGGCGCCTACTATAGTGACGCTGTTGCTCGCTAGGTTCGGACACACTCTCCTATCGACTGACATCTTGAGAGCGCCATATCGTAATGGTCACTATTGCAAGCCCGTAGTGGCATTAGACCAACGCGGAAGTTGGTTAAGGCGGAGTAAACTCTAACAGCATTGTCATGTCGGTTTGGATTTCACTTAAAGGTCGTGTATGTTACATTCCAAAGCATACACATCCGCCAAAAAAATTCTTAGTTATAACACGACCCACCGAAACAGCTTTATCGCGGGTAATGTCATCGCGATCAAGGGTTTTCCGCGCGGCTGCTTCTTGGGTTAAATTGCACGTAGCACTCGGCCAGCCCTCTGATAACGTTTGGCCACCGATGCGGCCCGCATTTGAGGGAACTGCGTCGGCAACGCTCCTAATTCAGGGATCAAGCCGTTCTCCTTGCGTACATCGTTGGGGCCCTTCCTGGCTCAGGATCCTTCTTTGGTACTGCGAATATATTAGACACCCACAGAGAGTTGCTAACCTACACCCAGTTCCTTTCAAGCATCGAATCCACGAATCCACGAAGTGTTGGAGGGCAGCTTATTCTACGGGCGACAATCGAAATCCCGGGCGAGGGTGTGGTCTGGCGCCAGGTTTGAGGGTGATCTCATGCTCCATATCACGGTCCGGAGGCAACTCGGTCGGCAACTGGTCCTGAAACACGTCTGCATAGCGAGCGATTAGAGGCTGTACACGTTCGTCTGTCACTCGGTGCCTAACTGGCGTAATGCGCAGCTGGAATATTTCGACGTAGTGGCCTGCCACCAATCGATGCTGGAATTATTCGTTACTGATTGGCTGTAATTCGTCTCTTTGGGTCGTAACCACACGTTTCTGCTAATCAATCACCGGATTGGATCGACGAAGCCATTCTTGACCCAAAATTCTGTCGTAGTCGTGCGTGATTGGCCACTCTATAAACTGGACGGACGGAAAGGAATGACATCCAAACTCAATAGTTGCGAAAACATCTGTTGTTTCAGTAGGTGGCGATAACTGTCCATCGAATCCGCGCACTTGTACCATTCTAGGCGTCTTATCACCCGCAATAACTCCCGGCGTGATTATGTTGTGGGTAGCGCCTAAGTCAATGAGCAACCGCACAGCACGTCCATCTATCTTCGCATCCTGGATGAACAGATTCGGTGCTATATCAATCTTTCGCGACGCGGATTGTGGCGTAGCTGTGTGTACCCCTACAGTACTCACGTCGACCAGATAGCAAGCTGGATACTCACCTTCCTCAGGACCGGTATAGCACACCTGCTGTTCAGCACGCAGTACTTCTCCTTCCACTTCAACAACTGCTGCACGTATATCGGTGTTGTTCGACCTTCTCTCCCCGCGGTGTGTACGCGGCTGCCGAACTGGGCATCGGTTAAAGCTATGACCTTTACGTTTGCAGTAAAAGAACAACCCTAGGCGGCGACAAGTATCCATTGACACTTGTCGAGATTCACCGCACCGATTGCTATAGCAGTAGGCCCTTCACCAACCAAAGGCGGATCCGGACGCACGGCTCTCGCACGTGCAGATGTTGATGCGTCGCCAAAATGAGTGCGCTCGTAAGCCAGTGCCTCGTACGTCTGTGCCTGCTCGACAGGGTGGAATAGCGACGATAGCTGACTTCCTTTCGAGTCTCTGCCTTCAGCCCATCGCAAAAACGCTCGATCTGAACCAGCTGACTCATGTTACGAACTCTGGCAATGAAGCACACGAAGAAAGCAAGTGCTACCAAATGTAGAGTGGCGGGCGAAGGCGAGAACAGAGACGAAAGGAGGTCAAAAGTTATCGGAGGACTTGTGGTCAAGCTGGTAAATTGCAGAATGACATTTATTGGGAAGCTTATCAAACGGTCTTCTGTAACTGTGTTCTGATGCATGAATCTCCTAGGTAGTACTCTTAGTCGCAGAGATATGGCTTGTAACCCTGGATACGCAGCAACCAGGATCATGACGCCTGCTGCCGTGTCGATCCTTGACTGGATCCACAGGAGCTGTCCTGAGCTATTGGTGCTGACGCAGTGCGACGAGACTTGAGCCGAGTGTCTTGTACTCCCTTGACGTTCGACGACAAGCCTTTTGCTTTAGAGCTGCTACTTTAGCAGCTCTACATTACACTCGAAGGGCATGATCAACTTCTCTGCCTCCGAGCGGGATGCCCTCTGGACCCTTGTTGAGCCTGATGTAATGATTGCACGGACACAAGGCCGCGGCGTAAACATTCGAATCGATTGTTCATTACGCTAACAGTGTTGAAGCACGACGGCGCATGGTATATGCATGCGATTGATTTTAATATTGGCGTGTCGATGCTGGAGACAATGGCGCATCGCACCATCGAGACGGTCGAGTCTGTGTTGTACACCTCGCTGGTCAATCGTATCAAGATGCATGAACGGATAGAAGCTGACAGCACACTCACCAACTACCCGTATGCTCTCTATACTACGGACGTCAAGTTCCAGCCAGCTTAAAGGCCAAGCGGCAGCTTTACAGAACAGGCGGTCTAACCGGTCAAGCACAAGTTGTACGGCTTCAAGATTGAGTGCTCGGTCGTACCACCTGGTGTTGCTGTTGCCATCTCCGCCCACGCCCGGGATCAACGTTGGACCTCACAATGAGCTCTACCGACTTTAATGCTCTGCCCAAGAGCGGAGCCGGTTAGGATTGGTGATCCAGATGCTCCTATCCAGTGGGAATCGACTATCGCCACCTCAACTCACAAACTGAGGTGTCCAAAATCTCTCTTTCAAGGATCGACGACCTGTTCGACAAGATGGAAGGTGTCTGTTATTTTTCGACTATCGACTTAGCATCCCGGTATCATCAGATGGGAATGGCCCCGTCGTCGCGCCGGCTGACAGCATTTCGAACTTCGAAGGGTGAATACGAACGGTTGGTGGCTCCTATGGGACTGGCCGGAATGCCGGGCACTTGGACCCGGCTGATAGCATCGATTTTTTTTCGGAAACTAAGTTTGGGAATTTTGTTGTGGTGTATTTAGATGATATTTGCATTTTCCCACGGTCGAGCTACATCTCAAGCATCTGGATGCTGTGCTCGCAGAGCTCCTTAGACACCGCCGCTATGCTCGGAAGAAGAAGTGCGCCTTGCTGTGTACGGAAGTGGCATTTCTGGGCCACGTAATTAGAAGCGAAGGCCTCCAGATTGACCCTCGTAAGGTGGAAGCAGTAACATCATGGGCGGCACCAACGAATCGGAGAGAATTGCAGCGCTTTTTGGGGCTAGTTGAGTTATATCAACGGTTTATCATCGACTTCGCCACGCTGCTAGCGCTCATTAGTGATCTGCTGAAGGACCAAGTGCAAGAGCATGCGTTCTATGCTGTGAAAGCAGCACTCACGCAGGCACCTAAACTACAGCTACCCAATGTCGATGTACCATTTGTCATCACTACGGATGTTTCAGGCATCGGCGTAGGAGGAGTGCTGTAGATGGAGCTGACTTACCAATGGAATACCTTTCGAAGAAACTTGGACCAACCGAACGGAGGTGGTCAGCTGTGGAACAGGAACTACTGGCCATCAAGTTGTGTTTTGAGACTTGGCGAGTGTATCTGATTGGTAACCCATTCCGACTTTTTACAGACAATATTGCCTGCCGGTTTATCTTGGAGCCATCCCGTAAGAAGTTATCCGCCAAGTTACTCCAGTGACTGGATTATTTTTCAGAGTTCCGATTCGCCGTGTATCACCGGGCCGGAGCGGCACATGTTGTAGCTGACGCCTTATCGCGGACTGAACAGACGCCGAACTCGTCACCCGTAGCACGGGACCTTGCTATGCTATGTGGCGATTTCATGTTTGCTGCTGTTAGCAGACATCGCGTGCACAACCCGAGAGTGGGATCTATTTCGAAAACCGCTTCAGTGATCTTTGTACGCGCAGTGCGTGCAGCGTACCCACATGGCCCTGATCTAAGAGAAGCCTGGCGTCTTCTATCACTAGGACAGTCTGTGAGGAAGTTTGACCTCAACTCGGTTGCAGCTGAGGACTCGTGATAGTGTGAAGCCAGTATGTCTACCACGAGTGAAGTCAATTTTGCTGAAGGTATATCAGGATTTTCACGATGCAGCAATTGCTGCACACCCTGGTGTCCTCCGAACATTTCTCGCGATTCGCCAATGGTACTTCTGGCAGCACCAATACGAGAATGTTCGTGAATATGTCACGACTTGCGAGATGTGTCTCAGAAATAAAGCTGGATTGCGTCGTCAAGGGTTGCTTCGGCAGATCGCTGCGCCTAGTGTTGCGTGGGAGGTGGTCAGTACAGACTTCCTAACACAGCTACCGATTTCCAACGGGTGTGCTGCGATTCAAGTAGGGGTTTGCAAACTTACCAAGGGCCCTTGCTACTTTCCGACTACCAAAGCAGTGATTGTGGCTACAGTGGCGAAACTCATGTTTCGTCACTGCTTTCGACAGTATGGCTTCCCTCGAGTGATCATTTCGGATCGTGACCCCAAGTTTACCTCAGAGTTCTGGACGACATTAATGCAGATGATCGGGGTAAAGCTTTCCATGACAGTCGCGTATCGGGCTCAGTCGGACGGGCAAACTGAAAGGCAGATTCGAACACTCGAAGACAGCTTGCGCTGTGTCACGAGCCACTACGGGGCGGACTGGTTTTATAAGTTGCCGTTGGTCGGGTTTGCCCATGCAACACTAGTCTCAGCCAGCTCGGGGTACTCTCCGTTTCAACTTGACACGGGTCGACTTCCTCGGCAACCGCCAGTTCCATCTACTTCTCTGATATCGACGGGGTGTTTGTTCTGGGCGGAGCGGCACCGCATCATTCAGCACGCACAGGACAACTTGCGTCGCGCTCAAGAACGCCAAAAACAATACTACGACAAAGATCGGCAGGAGATCCAGTACGACGTCGGAGAATGGGTGTTGCTCGATGTGTCAAACTTGACGCGGCGCCACGTCGTGGAAGGTGTCGCCGTAAACAAGCTTCTTCCTCGTTATATCGGACCATTTCGCATCAACCAGAAGGTCTCGAACACCACGTTCGAGCTACAACTTCCAACAACCATGGCCCGATTGCATCCTGTTTTCAATGTGGAGCGTTTCAAGAAGCTGATAGATCAGCGCCAGCGGCAAGGACAGCGACAATTTCTGGTGGATTGGATCGACCAACCTGTTTCTGAGCGAACTGGGAAGCTGAGCGAAATTTAGTTAATCTGGCACACTGGACAAGCCTACTTCCTGATCTACGGATCAGAATCCGTACGAGACCAAGTTAACCGATCCGTCATCAGCAGCGTCTTCAACAGCCTCAAGCTTCTCGCCAATATAGCCTTCTCTCAACAGCGTCACGTCAAGCTTGTAGGCCGGAGAATGTACTCTAAAGCTGCTAAAGTAGCAGCTCTAAAGCAAAAGGCTTGTCGTCGAACGTCAAGGGAGTACAAGCCAATCGGCTCAAGTCTCGTCGCACAGCGTCAGCACCAATAGCTCAGGACAGCTCCTGTGGATCCAATCAAGGATCGACACGTCAGCAGGCGTCATGATCCTGGTTGCTGCGTATCCAGGGGTTACCAGCCATATCTCTGCGACTAAGAGTGCTACCTAGGAGATTCATGCATCAGAACACAGTTACAGAAGACCGTTTGATAAGCTTCCCAATAGATGTCATTCTGCAATTTACCAGCTTGACCACAAGTCCTCCGACCACCTTTGCCCTCCTTTCGTCTCTGTTCTCGCCTTCGCCCGCCACTCTACATTGAGGGTGTTGTCACCATCCGAGGCAGTGTACTCGGCGAGGATAGGGGAGCTAGAACCCGACTCCTCATCCTGGACATGGTGGGTGACAGCGCCAAATGTTTAGTAGCTATTGACATGGTTGGATGTATCACCCTCTCACTGGCGATTAAGGCGACACTAAGTGGTTGTTGTAGTTCAGGACATCTCAAGTCAGTGGATGATATTGCGAGAATTTCGCATTTTTCAAAGGTAATACGATCTCTCACTAGTAGTAAAGTTTTGTTTTCGATCTGCTGCAATGTTATAACATATATCGGATTATTACTGATGCAAGCTGGCAGCATTGGAAGTGACAGAGTTAGATTTGAAAACATCGCAAGCTTATAATTACTATAGCTTTATAAATCAGAATTGCGCCTTACAGCGTTGAATCGTAAAAACACTTGTATCCAAGGTACATGTACATAATTTACGAATATTTCACTTTTTTTGCCTGCGGCCCAATCCAAAGCAAAAAAAGGATGGATGTCATTTTGATCTTTAGGATTTACGTCGCTGCATGTTGCAAATGTTGTCGCTATTAATACGCTCATGCAATAAAAATATTTTCTCAGCTGGCGAGTGCAGTGCTCGGCTTCCTGCGGAGCTCGGCGCTGGGCCCGCCTCCGCAAAAACCGCACGGCTTTGCTTCGCGGGCATCCCGTGCGGTTTTGCTGCTCATTGCAGATATTTTGACCCAGGCCTGTATATTATCTCGATTATAAACTCGAGTTTAAATTAGCCTGGTCTCATTTATGATTTATCTCTGATTTATAAAACACCTTTTTCTAGCTTGATGATCTGAGTTATAAACTCGTATCTCCTGCATAAATGCTAGTTGTGAGTTCAAAACGCAGAAATGCCCTTCCACAAGGGCAAAAACGACGTCGCTGTTGATAAATCAGACCGCTATATCAAAGTCAAATTCAAAAGAGTTTGCATGTCTCATAAAACTTGAATTTAGTGGTACTTCAGCTCAATTTTAGAGGTCTAAAATAAAGGGCAAAGTATCTGCAACGGGCAATAATACTAAAGTTTAGTAACCCTGCACTGCTTAGAAGACCCCTCTTAAAAGTGGTTGTTTTTATGGCCAATACTGAAAAATGACGGTAAAATCAATTAATTCTCCACTTTGAGGCGGATTTGGTCGGTGAGAGGCGAGGAGAGGTTGCTCAAAATCAAAAGTAACTTTGCGACCCGTATCCGTTTAGAAAAGAATTTATGTTGGCTTGTACTGGAAAATCATTTATTTGACAATCCGCTTGTATTCTACTGACCTGGTAGCTTACAGTACGCGAAAAAAGTATTCCCAGCGAAGTCGAAGACGATAAAATCGAAATTACACACTGGAATATTGCCCCATATTTCGCTCCCATTTTCCAGTGTGTAGTCTCAATTTGATCGTCTTCGACTTACCTTTTTTTGTGTAAATAAATGTCTATGGGTATTCCTTTCTGAATGTACCACAAATGGATCCGAGTACCTGTAGTTACCACAAGTGGATCTGAGTACCTGTAGATTGGGCCAGTGCACAAAATCCAGTAAACGGAACGATTGCGGTTCGCTCCGGGCCCCTTCTTCCATTATTATTGTCAGTTTGGACACGGCAAGATGCCCTCTCCGGCCCAGCTAGTCCGCCTCACTCGTAGGGCTCACTACAAGTATGCCAGCACCATGCTCAAACCATACTGCCCCAATAAGAGTTAGCTTTATGGGCTCACAGAATCTACGATCTCCATCTGGTTCCACCACATGCAATGATCTCGCAGCTATTTCTTCGCATAGTGTATTATGTATGATAACCACAGCACGAAGAAGTACTTATAAATAACAATATCTTGCTATTTTTTCAAAAGAATTAACAATAAAACAACAAATATAGAGGACAAGCCTACACAATAATTGTGTATCAACCATGTCATTGGGGTCAAGGCCAAACCTATCTCCGCGTAGCGGCGGACAGATTACCTACAACCTCGGATTTGATAGTTCAAGTCGAACATGCCCTATTTGGTTGTATTGTTGTGAAATGACCGTGAGAGGCTTGCTCGACCGAGCAATAACAGCCTCAAGCGGTTGAAGAAGTTGAAGGAGCTTTCTAAAACATTAGTGCTCCTCCACGCTGATTCTGATACGGAGGATAGTGATCGTCTGGGGGAGTGCATGTACAGTGGTGCACCTCGTTTTCGACAGGGTGGACCATATAGAGTCTGCCAACGGCGAAAATTTATGCAGGAACGCAGATGGGCCAATTGTACTGTTTTTTATCACGTTAATTCAGTATAAATCTCAGCCCATCTTTTACACGATATTCCGCTGTGACTCCAGCACGACTGGTTTATTGTTTTCGCCCCGATAGAACATGTCCAACTCCGCTTCTTGCTTTGTTGTCCGGTAATGATCCTTGAGGCTCTTGATGATCCCTTGATCCATCGGTTGCAAGGCAGCAGTTGTATTTGGTGGAAGCTTGTGGATGACCACGTAGAAACGTTTGTTACTGTCCACCATGGCTCAGCAGCTTTGCAGCATATCATCTGCTTGTCAGCGAGACTTAGCGTAGAATAGGCGGAGGGGCGACGTGCCATGGTATGATACAGCAAAAAATAAAGTAAGGTAAATGGCCAGTTTAAGTCAGTGAAAATAGGTCAAGTCTGAGAAAGCATAAATTTTCACAGACGTCGAAATTGAACACTTTACAGACATAATCGTTTGCATCAGGATATCAATTTTCTACTGGCAAGCGCAGCAAGTCAACGAGTTTTGTTTTTAGCTGACGATGGCGGTTTGAAACTATCATTCATTTTTGTGGTGTGCCAGTTTAAGTCAAAAATAGACTTGGTTTGAGTATGGATAGAGTCTGTTTATGTGCGGTCTTGCAAGTACAGTTGAATTTCTGTAAATTCCGATTTACACTCTGTAAAATGATAATGTTGTGAAGGATCAAAGTATGAGGTATATTAATTAAAAGGATAAAGTAACTAGAAGTTCACAACAAACAAAATCTGATCGTTGTGGCTGCTCTGTGTCGTCGGTATCTCTGCTTGCTCGCCGAGGACCTGCTCGAGTTCATGCTCCTGCTCTTGGTGGATATCCTGCTCTTGCTTGCTCTCCAGCTCCTGACGCTGATCTTGTGTTGTTTTTGTAGGTCTTTTACTCTTCGCTGGGTTTCGGGTTCGTTTCGGAGTCTTTGCTTGAGAAGGCTCATCAGGTTGCTGTAGCATCTCGCGAGTTAACAATCTACCGGCTACTGTCTTAGTTTTCCTCTTTTTTCCCCGCTTGTGTTGACGAGCAGGTAGAAGAAGAATATCGTGCTGCACTGTCTCCTTGTAGCGCAACCACGCGGCCTTCTTTACGTGCATGGGGACGCCGTTATCTTGAAAGTTGTGTAGCTTTTCGTGCATTTTTACGAGACTTAATGGGAAAATTCCGCAGCTCCGAAAGCCTGAGGAAATGTTGTGGTTAAAGTTGCAGCTTGTCCACGCAAGAGTTGCCACTTGGAGAGCTTTTTCCTTGCTGATCACATTAAAACCATTGGAACGAATGTGGTGGAGTGGGATTCGCAAAATCGCGTTGCGATC